TGACAGCATTGTACTTCAGGACAGATCTTGAAACATCCTTTGTAATGATGAATGCCACGCCATTCCTCTTCAAACTATCACTCCCGGTATAGTAGATCACATGGTTGTCTGATTCAAAATGGCCAAAACCAGTCCATTTCAGCTCACTAATGCTGAGGATATCAATCTTTATGCATTCCATTTAATTTTTGACAACTTCCAATTTTCCTAGATTCAAACTTTGTACATTCCATGTTCCAATGATTAATGGATGTCTGCAACTATTTCTCTTCAATTTGAGTGGTGCCACATCAGCAAATGGGGGTCTCGAAAGCTTTACCTTATCCATAGGAGTAAGCCTGGGTTTACTCAGATGATGCAGCTCTTTCCCAGTCCTATCTTGAGAGCCTTCTAACCTAACAGGACTATTCATAAAGTTGTGTGGCAATGTATCAGATAGTGTTTCTTTGCTATTCGTAAGGTTTTCCCTGGCCAATTCTTTGAGAAGTGGATGGCCTTTTCCTTCTTCCTAGTCTGTCTCTGTCTGTAAGCTGGGCTGATACCTGTGCACCATATGCATCCCACTGGGTTTGAAACACCAGTGGCTCAGCCTCAAAACTCACATCAGCACATCACCACACTAGGACAAACCAACAGACAAGTTTGTCTCCCTGTTGGCAACCTCTTGTATCACCCTTACCTGGGTCCCTACGGCTGACTCCTCCTCTGTCCGGATTCCTGGGTGTTTTACTCCCCTTTCTCCTGCTCTTCCACCCGGCTGCTTTGGGTGTGCCTAATTTCCCTCTCCTTACCTGGATCCCTGCGGCTGAGTGTTCCTCTGTCCGGGTTCTTGGGTGTTTTAATTCCCTTTCTCCCACTCTCCCACCCTGCTGCTTTGGGGGTGCTTGAATTCCCTCTCCTCACCTGGATTCCTGCAGCTGCAGTGAAGGATAATTAGTAAAATCTTGAGATCTACCTGTCAAATGACGGCTTTTCTCCACAGTCAAAGGCATCCTGGAGCTCCTTAACAAGATTAGCTTGGCCTGGCAGTCGAAATAGACCCTCTTCTTTCAGCCCTCTTTGCCGGATAAAGTCCACACATTGCTCCACCAACATTGGAGCCAGGCGGTTCCCATATCTCTTCTCATAACGGACAGTGTCTTCCAGTTTCTGTCCAAAAATACCTGGAAAAATAAAGGATGTCAGTGAACTTAAATAACTTACATCTATACACTTTGTTAATTTCTTTTTAAATCGATATTTAAAAAAATGGAATGCTAGCAAGTACCATATGGTATTCCACAGTATTGTGAATTGAATTCTTTCTAAGTAATTCTTCAAATGAAAAGAGTATACTTTATCCTGCCCATTTTACTTGATAAAAATACTTTGTCTAAGATATTTGCTTTGAAATAAAAAACACCATAATAAATGAAATTATTTATTTATTTATTTATTTTCCTTCTGGGAAGGTGTGGTAGTTGTTTGTGTGTCAACTTGGTTGGGCTTGGTTGAGTGGCTGTTGTTATGTTGTTGTTATGTGCCGTCGAGTCAGCCCTGACTCATAGCGACCCCTCCTTGGGTTTCCGAGGCAGTATCACTACGGAAGTAGGATTGCCCAACCTTCCTTCCGAGGAGTGGCTGGTGGGTTTGAACCGCCAGCCTTCTGGTGAGCAGGCAAGTGTCTTAGCCACTATGCTACCAGAGCTCCCTAGGAAGCTGGATATAGTATTCCCCATGATAAGACTGATAATCAACTCTGTGGTGGAATCTACTGGAGCAGCTGATTAGCTGCTTTGGGTATGTGGTCTGCTTCTCATATATAAGAAATAGCTTTGGGAATGGTCTATAGCTTATGGCACACTTGAACCTTGCATGTAGCCGAGTTGTTGTTCAGTAGGCTGCCATGCTCTGCTGACCTTGGAACTTTTAATGAACTTGAATTAATGGCCTGCCATATGGCTAGGTAACATCAAGACTGTGCCTTTTTACTTGTCAACCTTGGGCTTGTCAGCCTTAGCATCCAGCAGCTGAGTGAAGAAAAGACTCCAGCTTCAGCAGGCCGGGAGCAGGAGGCAGAGCTGAAGCCCAAGATTGAGGATTTTTCACCCAGCCCCTAAAGGTGGCACTTTGAACTCAGACTCAAAGCCTCCAAACTGTAAGAAAATAAACTCCTGTTTGTTCAAGCCATCCCATTTGTGAAATATTCTTGTCAGAGTGGTACTAGGTAACCACAATAGAGAGGAATTGTATTCAAAAGTTTAAAAGCAAAAATATTATGAAGACAATAGTCCAATTCTATTTTTGTAAGTTTTATCTTTACATACGATTGTTTTTTTCTTTTCATTTCTCCAATTCATTTCTCTTTCCCTTCTTTTTCATTTTCAATCAAAGATGATATCAGACTATAAGTAATGTGAGAAACTCAGGAACATAAACTTTGAATTTTCTTCAATATAAAACACCTTAAAAACCTGTACTATAAATATATTGGAAAAAAGAACCTTTAATTATGAAGCAATGCATACCAAAAAGGGGTAAAGCATGGTGGTCTACAATGGCTGGGAGATGTATATTATCACTTACATTTGTCCAGAACCTCCAGTATGTGATGATAACAAAAAGCAGGCTACTTTTCATCAGTGTTATTGATAATTTGAAATAGGTACTTTGAACTTCTTAGTGCATGCACCCATGACTGAACACCCCCACTATTCCACCCTTGGTATTCTACTGAGGATTAGGCCAGATGACAATTATCTTTGCATCAATTCTGACTCATGGTGAGCCCATATGTTTCAGTGTAGAATTGTGCTCCATAGGCATTTTGATGGCTGATTTTTGGGAAACAAAATGCCAGGCTTTTCTTCTGAGGTACTTCTGAGTGGTCTCAAGCCTCCATCCTTTCAGTAGCAGCCCAGTATGTTAACCATTTGCATCATTCAGGGATTCCAACTCCAAAACTATGCCTCTAAAATGCAGCTAGGAAAACTAGTTTACCAAAACTAGCCAACTTTTCAGAAAAGGAAAACTAAAAGATAGACCAAATGTGGTTCAATGGTCCTAGGTGAATTGAATGTCACAAAATGGTTTCAATGATCCAATGGGTTTCATAAAGGAGAATAAAAACAAATGGCACAAGTTGAAATTATGTAAAAGTCCAGAATGTTTAGTGAATTATGTGCCAATAATTTGGTAAGGATTACATAGTTACAACACATACCTGACCTCCCTATCTGTAAAATTATTTATTTATGGATTCAGCAATGCAAACCCATCACATTTCCATTAAGCACAAACAATAAACATTTGCTGTCAAAGAGAATATCCTTAGCCTAGGTAAAATAGGACAACAGGAAAACTATTCTAAACCTAGGCTTAATTCTAGCACTAATTTACATTTTCCTTTTAGGGAAAAGCTATTGATATGCCTAATAATGATATTCAAGTGCATATAAAGAGGAATCGAATAATGGGATTTTCTAAGGGCAGCAAAAATTAAAAGAGGTCACATGCCAAAAATGTCTTAGCTTGTAGACTTTGGCAAAAACAGTTTTTTGATAATGATGTGTCAAACACAGTTCACCAACTCAACAGATATCCACAGTTCGATTTTCTCTTCCATCTCTTAATTAGATGCTGGAAAATGAATACTTCTTCCATTTCCTTTGCAGTCAAGGATAACCATTTTTCCAATAGCTACCAAAAAAATAAAATACTTGGGAATAAATTTTACCAGGGACACAAAAGACCCGTACAAAGACAACTATAAAAAACTACTTCAAGAAACCATAAGAGATCTATATAAATGGAAGAACATCCCATGCTCATGGATAGGGAAATTAAACATCATGAAAATGTCAACTCTAGCCAAAGCAATCTATACATTCAATGCAATACCAATCCAGATCTCAGCAACATTCTTTAAGGATATGGAAAAAACAATCACTAACTTTATATGGAAAGGAAAGAGACCTTGGATAAGCAAACAACTATTGAAGAAGAAGAACAAAGTAGGAGGTCTCACACTGCTGGATATCAAAGCCGACTATACAGCCACAGTAGTCAAAACTGCCTGGTATTGGTTTAATTACAGACACATAGACCAACGGAACAGAATTGAGAACCCAGAAATAGATCCATAGACCTATGGTCAGCTGATCTTTGACAAAGGACCTAAATCCATTAAATGGGGAAGAGAATGTTTGTTTAATAAATGGTGCTGGCAAAACTGGAGATCCAT